GGCATTAGATGTACATGTATGTAGTCAGATGCCGGTACATGCCGTTGCATGCACCTCATCTCATGGCTTTAGCCGATTGTTGCCAAAAACCTGAGATTTCCCTACATCATCCCCTATGAAACTCGTTCTGCCGCTCAAACCTCAGATCAGATAGTGCTCGTCTTGTTCCTTTCTAATGCTCCATAATGCTCGGATAGTCTCATAATGGCGAATATAATGCCGGCATTATCCGCTGGACCCTAGCGGTGGAGCGGTATGAACTTCGTTTTAGCAGGATTTAATTTCATTCGCATTCCTTTCAGATAATCCGATAACTTCATAAGATCACCGTTCAATTTGTCCACGACTTCTTCAATAGTGTCACCAGCTGCATACATGTTAACGTCTTCAGCAAACTGAAGTGCAGATGAGGTTTGGTAACCGTAGACCCTCTACTACTACTCTCTACTCTACGTGATGCGCCTTGGGTCGTGTGTCGGAACGACCAGGAGTATTTGTGGTAAGTGTGTGCTTGACATCCAATAGAGATTCTTGTCTAGTTTTGTGTTGCACATTGACAACAAGGTTTTGAATGCCATGCGGATCCTCCGCTGGCAATGGGGATTTAGCCATTGCCATTTTGTTTCTTGTGTCTGATTGCCACTTGTTTAATTTTCGGATTCTGGAGACCACTGATTCTACCAGGAATGTCATTGCATTGATCTCAAGTGCAGTGAAAAGTTCCGGGTACGGAACTTATGTGTTTGCCGTCATTGCCTAGGTTACGATCGCAAGCACGTCACATTCCCGCGCTATGCCTTTTTATTTTGAAAATTTGTACCGAAATCAAAACTTCCCGCGGAAAATCGATGTTTCTCGTACCAAATTTGTACGCGAAAAATCTTTCTGCACCCGATGACGCAAAATCTCCATACGAAACATGGTTCGTATGAAAGCCAGTCCACACGGATTCTCCGTGCCGAAAAATCGTATGGAGCACGCCTGGAAAAAATCCGTAGCGGCCATACGGATTTTGGCACGGAAAATCGTACCCCGGAACCTCCCTATTGCCTAGGTTTCGATCGCAAACATATTCCCGCGCTTTGCCTTCTATTTTGAAAATTTGTACCGAAATCAAAACTTGCGGCGGAAAATCGATGTTTCTCGCGCCCAATTTTTTTTTCACGGTTCGCGTGAGACTCGGCCAAAGGCCCATTTTCCGCATCTGCAGGAATGCCACCACCGTCTTGGATCAAGGCTAGTCTTCGGCGGATAATGCCGGCATAATTTTCAGCATAATCACGGCTTTCTGAAAAATAGCATTGCCGAGCATAATTTCGTTGATCCTTCAGCATAACTGCTGCATAAAACCGCTAGGGCCTCAAAGGTCAAAAGTTCACCGTCCAGAGTCCGTTGTTTGTTACAAAGGCAAGGGAATCCTCCTATAAATAGATCTACACCCGGGACTCGGCAGGGAGTCGTACCATACCACGGTATTATTATATCTGGCACGGCTCCGTGAAACGGCCTGATCTACACTGTAAATGTAACAGATGTCTAATGTTTAGGGCGTCAAAGGTCCAAAGGTCACCGTCCAGAGTTCTATTATTTCTGTACATAATTAGGCTTGTATCAAGAGTAGATAAACAAGCGTGTGCAACTCCGGGATGGGTTGGCCCGCGGCGGAAGTTTTTGTTGACGTAATCTTTTCGACGACGCACGCTCTGCGAGTCCTTTGGAAAGTTTTGCCTCGTGCACTTGGCCGGGCTTTACATTACAAGGTCGGTACCTAGCACGTGCTCTCACACTGCTCTGTGGCAAAATGCGCGTTCTTCTGAAAAAAGGTGACGTCAACAAAAAATTCCGCCGCGGGCGGGGGTATCTGCAGATTGTGCAGAAGAGATCCGGAGTTGCACACTCTTGTCTATGTACTCTTGCTTGTATTGATGTTGCAGTGCCTACATGTATTTGTATTTTTGTATATTTAAGGATTTCCCAAAGGCTTTGGGCCTTTCGAGGGGATCTCCTGCGAGAAGAATGAAATGACAACTTTATGTAGAGGGAGCAGGTAATCGAGGATAGGCTAAGGAAATAGATCGAAGAATACAAAATCTGGTGATTAAGGAGTTGGGATACCGTCAGTGTAATGAATATATCGGCGAAAATGCTGATAGAGAGAATGCTTGAATTCGGGGAGGCTGGTTATAGAGGTAAGAGAAGGCGGTAGGCAATTCCATAGCATTGCAGCTTTGTTGGAAAAGAGGGAAGAAAAACGCCTACCGTGATAATTGATGCTAGGTTTGTTTGGTCTTCTTGGACTTGAAGACAATGAAAGGTGAAAATGTTGAATGTGTTCTGGAGATATAATTATGTATAAGTTGAAATAGAGTATCAAGAGCTGATACTTGTCTGCGAAAGTGCAGGACTCTAAGTCACAAAGGGCGTTTAACTGGGATTTCGTTTCGCATCTATCTACATTGACTTTTTTACGTAGCAAATACTTCCTAGCTACTCTGGCTTGTAAAATATTTAAACGCTCCAGCTCAGCTTTGGTGATGGCATAGGACCAGGCCGAGGTGACGTGTTCCAGGGCGGGTCGGACAAAACCTTTATATAGAAGTAGCTGTATCCTGGTTCCTTATCCATAGCTGAGACTAGATCTTCCATGCAGTTTTCTCCGGAAGTCCACATTCGATCCCGGGTACACATTCTATACAATTTTAATGGCATTATAAACATGAAAGAGCACAGTGTCAAGAAGCATAATTTGAGCATAATTTTAGTGATTTTCAGAGCGTATTGCCAGCATACTGAAAAGCATAATCCGTGGGATTTTCGAGCATTATCCGCCGACGTCTAATCAAGGCGCAGATGCAGCTCCTAAGCGGTGGGAGGTGAGTAGATCAGACCCACCACAAAGTGGTCAAAGACCGAAATCCCATTCACTGCATCCATGTTTCCCTCATGCCAGGCCACGAGTTCGCAATTTAAAACTGTGGGTCGCAGCTAGACGTCGGCGGATAATGCTCGAAAATCCCACGGATTATGCTTTTCAGTATGCTGGCAATATGCTCTGAAAATCACTAAAATTATGCTCAAATTATGCTTCTTGACACTGTGCTCTTTCATGTTTATAATGCCATTAAATTGTATAGAATGTGTACTCGGGATCAAATGTGGACTTCCGGAGAAAACTGCATGGAAGATCTAGTCTCAGCTATGGATAAGGAACCAGGATACAGCTACTTCTATATAAAGGTTTTGTCCGACCCGCCCTGGAACACGCCACCTCGGCCTGGTCCTATGCCATCACCAAAGCTGAGCTAGAGCGTTTAAATATTTTACAAGCCAGAGTAGCTAGGAAGTATTTGCTACGTAAAAAAGTCAATGTAGATAGATGCGAAACGAAATCCCAGTTAAACGCCCTTTGTGACTTAGAGTCCTGCACTTTCGCAGACAAGTATCAGCTCTTGATACTCTATTTCAACTTATACATAATTATATCTCCAGAACACATTCAACATTTTCACCTTTCATTGTCTTCAAGTCCAAGAAGACCAAACAAACCTAGCATCAATTATCACGGCAGGCGTTTTTCTTCCCTCTTTTCCAACAAAGCTGCAATGCTATGGAATTGCCTACCGCCTTCTCTTACCTCTATAACCAGCCTCCCCGAATTCAAGCATTCTCTCTATCAGCATTTTCGCCGATATATTCATTACACTGACGGTATCCCAACTCCTTAATCACCAGATTTTGTATTCTTCGATCTATTTCCTTAGCCTATCCTCGATTACCTGCTCCCTCTACATAAAGTTGTCATTTCATTCTTCTCGCAGGAGATCCCCTCGAAAGGCCCAAAGCCTTTGGGAAATCCTTAAATATACAAAAATACAAATACATGTAGGCACTGCAACATCAATACAAGCAAGAGTACATAGACAAGAGTGTGCAACTCCGGATCTCTTCTGCACAATCTGCAGATACCCCCGCCCGCGGCGGAATTTTTTGTTGACGTCACCTTTTTTCAGAAGAACGCGCATTTTGCCACAGAGCAGTGTGAGAGCACGTGCTAGGTACCGACCTTGTAATGTAAAGCCCGGCCAAGTGCACGAGGCAAAACTTTCCAAAGGACTCGCAGAGCGTGCGTCGTCGAAAAGATTACGTCAACAAAAACTTCCGCCGCGGGCCAACCCATCCCGGAGTTGCACACGCTTGTTTATCTACTCTTGATACAAGCCTAATTATGTACAGAAATAATAGAACTCTGGACGGTGACCTTTGGACCTTTGACGCCCTAAACATTAGACATCTGTTACATTTACAGTGTAGATCAGGCCGTTTCACGGAGCCGTGCCAGATATAATAATACCGTGGTATGGTACGACTCCCTGCCGAGTCCCGGGTGTAGATCTATTTATAGGAGGATTCCCTTGCCTTTGTAACAAACAACGGACTCTGGACGGTGAACTTTTGACCTTTGAGGCCCTAGCGGTTTTATGCAGCAGTTATGCTGAAGGATCAACGAAATTATGCTCGGCAATGCTATTTTTCAGAAAGCCGTGATTATGCTCAAAATTATGCCGGCATTATCCGCCGATGACTAGTCGCAGCACGGCTGGAAAAAATCCTTCCGCTTCCAAGCAGGACTTGAACCTGGTACCCTCTGTTTCTCAATCATGGTCTTAGACGATCCCACTCTGCCTGCCTGCCCAATGTGTACGCAAAAATCTTTCTGCACTCGATGACTCAAAATCTCCATACGAAACATGGTTCGTATGAAAGCCAGTCCACATGGATTCTCCGTGCTGAAAATCGTATGAAGTACGCTTCGAACAAGTCCGTAGCGTCCATACGGATTTTGGCATGGAAAATCGTACCCTGGAACCTATCTATTAATTTACAAACAACGTTTCTTCATTTATGATAAGGATAGTTTCTTTCTCCATCAAGATCCAAATGGAACGGAAACAGGGTAGCTGCATCCATAGGCAGCTGCGCACAAAAATCATGCATTAGAATGGCGACGACGACTTTCATTGACGTGGAATGGTGGAAAAAGAAACTAGTGCAGCGACAAAATAGAAATGGAGAAGAATTAGCAGCAAGGAGAGCGAATTGCTAAAGTGCACTAGCCTACTGTCTGTAGTTAGTGAACACATAGTCACGTGGTCAAGTGATCACATACACATATACATCATACCAATACGTCATCATGGTCATGCATAACAAAAAGAACAGAAAGGAAAGTCATGCCTGAGCAAAACAAATCAAGAGCGTGAGACTACTCACGATATGAAAACATAACGAAACATTTGTTTCAGAACGAAATGCAAAGGATAGAGAAACGAAGACTCCTTTCGAAGCTACTTCGAAGTGGAATGGAATCAATCCTTAGAAATGAAGATAGGGAACCAGAATTCTGCTAACCCAAGCGTGGAATCAGCCACAATGTAAGAGAGTAAGAGAGTACAATCATTGTCATGGTATATACGAAAACACTAATGTTAATCATCGTCATGTAATGCAAAATACATAAATTAGTTATTCAGAATTCATTTTCATGTATTTCATCTCGACGTTCGCAACAAAGATTCGTGGGAGATTGAGGGCCTGCTAACAAATCCGCGAGCGGCTGAAGAATGCATGCACAATCCGGGTTGAAGCGTCGGTAGATATTTACCAAACCTAGAAAGCGAGGTAGAGAGCAGAGTGAGTATCTGGAGCAGGGTAGTCCACCATGGCCTTGACTTCCTCTGCCGGTGTCTCAATGCCGCCGCCGACAGCGGCTTTGACATTGTGACCAAGGAATGTCACGGAAGGGCTGCATGAAGACACACTTGCTGACAATGACCACCAGACCATACTCTGCCAAGTGATGGAAGATGGTCTTCAGATGCTTGAGGTGTTCTGCTGTCGAGCGACTCACTACCAGTAGAATGGAGACAGTTGACAGCTTAGCCAGGAACGAATAGAGGCCACCGCTGGGCAGGGCAGCTTCAAGATGACGCCTCACCATTTTTCAACACTGTACCAAGGACAAACAACAAGAGAGAGAAAGCGGGGGAGAGACAGGGAGAGAGAGAGAGAGAGAGAGAGAGAGAGAGGAAAAGAGAGCAGGGAGGGTAAGAGAATGATATGCAGACACACCAGCAAGCAGACATATATGGTATTCTGCAATATAAAGACAGGCAGAGACAATGGGGGGGGGGGGGGGAGAAAATTCTAGTGCCTGCCATTTGAAGATGCCGAGACCTCTAGTCGGTTGAACATGGCAGGCCGCACCAGCACCATCTCTCACCATGCTAGCTCCATTGGCCTGCCAGTGAGGTGTGTATCTTGTAAAGAGTGAAAGAAATGAGAGAGGTGAAGTCGTGATTTTGTCTTGTATACGAGGTTGACTAGATTGTGGCTTGATGGTTGCACACTCCAAGAATGTACACCCTTTTACTGAGAGAAAACGTTTGGTCGGATGTTAGCACAACCAACACGACTTGAACAGCTGAAGCTCTTCAGCTCAGGTGAGTCCAATTAGTGTTTTATTGTATGATCTTGTCAGTCTATCAGATCCTAGGTATTCTTAGAAAATTGGTAACGCAAACTAGGGAAAACACTGATTGAAAGGAGTTATAAAGCCACGGCTATCCACCACTAACACTGATTGAAAGGAGTTATAAAGCCACGGCTATCCACCACTAACACTGATTGAAAGGAGTTATGAAGCCACGGCTATCCACCACTAACACTGATTGAAAGGAGTTATGAAGCCACGGCTATCCACCACTAACACTGATTGAAAGGAGTTATGAAGCCACGGCTATCCACCACTAACACTGATTGAAAGGAGTTATGAAGCCACGGCTATCCACCACTAACACTGATTGAAAGGAGTTATGAAGCCACGGCTATCCACCACTAACACTGATTGAAAGGAGTTATGAAGCCACGGCTATCCACCACTAACACTGATTGAAAGGAGTTATGAAGCCACGGCTATCCACCACTAACACTGATTGAAAGGAGTTATGAAGCCACGGCTATCCACCACTAACACTGATTGAAAGGAGTCATGAAGCCACGGCTATCCACCACTAACGCTGATTGAAAGGAGTTATGAAGCCACGGCTATCCACCACTAACACTGATTGAAAGGAGTTATGAAGCCACGGCTATCCACCACTAACACTGATTGAAAGGAGTTATGAAGCCACGGCTATCCACCACTAACACTGATTGAAAGGAGTTATGAAGCCACGGCTATCCACCACTAACACTGATTGAAAGGAGTTATGAAGCCACGGCTATCCACCACTAACACTGATTGAAAGGAGTTATGAAGCCACGGCTATCCACCACTAACACTGATTGAAAGGAGTTATGAAGCCACGGCTATCCACCACTAACACTGATTGAAAGGAGTCATGAAGCCACGGCTATCCACCACTAACGCTGATTGAAAGGAGTTATGAAGCCACGGCTATCCACCACTAACACTGATTGAAAGGAGTTATGAAGCCACGGCTATCCACCACTAACACTGATTGAAAGGAGTTATGAAGCCACGGCTATCCACCACTAACACTGATTGAAAGGAGTTATGAAGCCACGGCTATCCACCACTAACACTGATTGAAAGGAGTTATGAAGCCACGGCTATCCACCACTAACGCTGATTGAAAGGAGTTATGAAGCCACGGCTATCCACCACTAACACTGATTGAAAGGAGTTATGAAGCCACGGCTATCCACCACTAACACTGATTGAAAGGAGTTATGAAGCCACGGCTATCCACCACTAACACTGATTGAAAGGAGTTATGAAGCCACGGCTATCCACCACTAACGCTGATTGAAAGGAGTTATGAAGCCACGGCTATCCACCACTAACACTGATTGAAAGGAGTTATGAAGCCACGGCTATCCACCACTAACACTGATTGAAAGGAGTTATGAAGCCACGGCTATCCACCACTAACACTGATTGAAAGGAGTTATGAAGCCACGGCTATCCACCACTAACGCTGATTGAAAGGAGTTATGAAGCCACGGCTATCCACCACTAACACTGATTGAAAGGAGTTATGAAGCCACGGCTATCCACCACTAACACTGATTGAAAGGAGTTATGAAGCCACGGCTATCCACCACTGCTGTAACAAGTTAATACTTAGTCAGAAAGTGCAATCACAGGGCATCGTTCCAATTCGTGTTTTCAGCTTACATTTTACATTCTATTACTGGATCAGTGTCCGAGTTTAAAATTTTCAAACCAGGGACTTTCCTACTGGGAAACAATGCTCAGACGACAAGCTCAGGTGCAGGCAGGATCCCAGCACAGACCGTTCATCACTTTGTCAAACAAACTTGACTACCCCCCCCCCCCCCCCCCCCCATCCCTTCTCCCTGGACCTGACCCGGACCATCCCACCGAAATACTGGATAACAAGGAGATCAGTCATTCTTGTTTAACTCACTGGAATGTTTTCTCAATCCTTTTCTTCTTGTCCGGATTCAGGTCTAGCGCTATCTTCTTCAACTCGGCCAGGGTGACTTCGCGCGTTCCAGCTTTGTCCACGGCCCACTTGATAACACCATGCATATTATCCGGTATGTTAGTGGTGCCATAGTCGTTTCTCACAATAAAGTCTTGCATGTCGTCTTTGAAATGGTTGCTGTACTCTGGGTCAATCAGTATTGCAACGGCTTGGGCAAAGTCCTCTGGACACACAGGAGAACAAGAAGGGAACATAAAGAAATACAGCATTTCTCAGAGACATGTCGGTAGCCTATTCACGTTCCCAATGCACGGCCCCACACCACAGCAAGTCTAAGCACAGGGACTACAAGTTACGCTATAATGTATATAGTCCTATTGCAAGTCTTTATTTGGTACAGTAAAGAGGTGATAGAAACATAGCAAGTAGGAACAGCTAAAATAACAACAAACAATGTAATGTATTTAGGGACACAAATATCTGGGTGCGGAGTATACTCCGGAATATATGCTACGTATTTTGTCTTCCATTCTACACAGATAGGCAGCAGCATACTTACCACGTTTAAGGCGGCTGACGCACCCTTCAACGCTTCGGCTGAAGTTTCGAAAATGAGAAATGTCTGACAAAACTTTCAGTCTGAAAGAGGGACAGAACATATGAAAGCGACATGTATTTTCATGTTAATCACGGAGGGTCAGAAGACAAGGCCAAGAGAGGATTTTCATAAAGGAATAAAATAGAACTAAATCTGCCGTCATCATCATGCATCAACGAATTCGAAATGATACTGCACTGATGAAAGTGACTTGAAAATTGATTCTGGAAAGAATTAATATTTTGACTTCGTTGATGCATGGTGATGACGGCAGAGTCAGTTTTATATATTGCTTTATTGCTTTTACGAGAGAGAGAGATAGACAGAGAGAGAGAGAGAGAGAGAGAGAGAGAGAGAGAGAGAGAGAGAGAGAGAGAGAGAGAGAGAGAGAGAGAGAGAGAGAGAGAGAGAGAGACAGATAGAGAGAGAGAGAGAGAGACAGATAGATAGATAGAGAGAGAGAGAGAGAGAGAGAGAGAGAGAGAGAGAGAGAGAGAGAGAGAGAGAGAGAGAGAGAGACAGAGAGAGAGAGAGAGAGAGAGAGAGAGAGAGAGAGAGAGAGAGAGAGAGAGAGAGAGAGAGAGAGGAGAGAGGGAGGAAGGGAGGGAGGGAGGGAGAGAGAGAGTAAGTTACATTTATAAAGACAGGTAAGTCTAACAAATGAGGACTGAGACCTCTACAACAGGGTTTTTACGCCTGAAAGCAGGTGCATGATTTAACAAGCAGGTTGTCAGTCTAGATTTTATGCGCAGATGGAGAAAAAGCGCAGAATTTTTGTAATGAGATGAAAAGCAGAAATAATAAGAAATAATAAGAAAAGATGAAATGAAAGCCTGCTCACAACCCCGCCCAGCCTTGCGAACTGGGTATGGTGGATTAAGAACCCGGTTCAACGCTCGAGCAAGCGCTCTCCACTCAAGGTGTTCACAGCAACTGATAGGAACTCATATGGGGAAATTATAGAAAAGAAATAATAAGATAAAGAGAATAAATTTCAACGCACCTCAATAAACGGAGCCCCACATACAGTACCTCAGAAAAGTGGATCTTCCGACCAGTGTTTTTGTTGACGCCGCAACCAGATGATGTAGCTGCTTCGCAGAGACGTCTTACTGCACAAATTACAAATAAATTTTATTCTTCGATTAGAAAATCCAAGCGCTTTCAGAGCCCTCCGAAGAGAGTCCGGGATGAAACCACGCACACCTACCTCAACCGAAAAAGAAACGACCTGCCACCCGTTTGCTCGGCATTGATCGGCCAGATCCGCATACCGCCTGTCCTTCCGCGAGTTACTGACACTGAATCTGTCCTCAGCACAAACTGTCAACTCCATCCAGAATACAATCCTACGACTCGTAGAGTACAGAACTATATCTGGTCTTAGGGTGGTAAGTGCAACACAGCTAGGGAAAGAAATCTTTGCACTAACTGAGTCGACAAGAAGTTTCCAGTCTGAGGCCGCTGACAGGAGATCAGTCGTAACCAACTTTCGTCTGGGCTGAACGCGAACTGGCTTCTCTCCCGCCTTGCAAAACGAGATGAAGTCAAGCTCATTTGAATTTTCGGTTTGTACGGTGTTTGCAGCAGTGCGGATTCGAATCTCCTCACGCATGTTCCTGACGATGACCCCGAGTACGTTGTCGTGCCTCCAGGTGTAACGTCCCTGGTCCAGCGCTACGCGACAAGCGCCAAGCACGTGGCGCGTAGTACAGGCCCAGGTACGGCACAAACTACAGTACGGATCCACTACGGTGTTTCCCCAACGGCGTAGGTTCGTCGGAGAAGGTAGCACGTCGAGGGTTGATGCGAGAAGAAATTTCAAATCCTTACCAGTACCACCGTACAAAAGGGATTTCCACGAGAGGTCCTGCCACATCACCGATGTCCACTCCAACCACTTGCCTTGCACCTGAAGAGTCTTCAGCCTCAAAATCTGCTCCTGCGCGTTGATCTCCTCAAATGTTTGAAGGAGATCCTTCCTCGGGGGTTTGGAATGCTGCTTCGGAGCAGGAGCACCCAACCCTGCACGATGACTTGAAGATGACGGTGGACGGAGAGTCCCTGAACCTACTGATGCCTCTGCACACTCCAGCTCTATTGTCGCCGCATATCGCTTTGTCAGCTTCGCATCCTTACTCCGACGCAGAGTGTACAGCGCCCTCATGCGCGCGTCCCCACTCGATCGAAGAATGTGCCATTTGATGGACTGGCACTTTTTCCACACCGTAGGAAGGTAGTGGAGGCGTAAGCCAAAGCGTTTGCGACTGCCAATAAAAAGAATGGCAGAGTTTGCGCATCGAGGTAGGCCTGACCATTTCTTCAGAAATGGTAAACACATAAAGTGCAGTTCACGTACAAAACCTTGTGTGAGTTCAAGAACCTGGAAAGACCAAGAAAGCTTGGGCACTACAAGATGGTGGTAAAGCCATAGCTTGTGGTGGTCTTGAAGCCAAGAGCCATCTACTTTTTGCATGAGAGATACAGTGAGTTGACGGATGTCTTCCCGCTGGGTCTGCTCAGAGCAATCAGCATGCAGCCTTCGCCCCAGGAACTTGAACTCTGCAGTGTCAATGAAAGCGATCTTCCTCCCTGACATTGTCAGGCAGGGATCGTAAGGTTTGTACCGGCCATCTACAAGCTTTGCTGCACTGCTTTTGCATTTGTGCGGCGCCGCCTGCATACATTGGGTCCACGAGAGAAAGTCCTCCGTGACCGCAATGAGTTTTTGACAACCTGCACTAGATTTGCTATAGAGGCCTAAGTCATCAGCAAAAGCTGTTTGGGACACTTGCAAAGGGGCAGATTTAAAATCATAGGAGAGGCAACTTAATTCAGGGGCTGCAAGTGAGTCCAGCAGAAGCTGGAAACAAATATTGAAAAGGACCGGGGACAAGGGGCACCCCTGGAAAACACCAATGTTGTAATTAAAGGTGGGTGTGTGTGGTTGTACGACGAAAGCGCAAAGACTGTCGTAGTAGGAAAAAATTAATTTCCTGAATTGCAAAGGAAGGCTGTAGTGGGTTAGAGCATACTGTATCAGATTGTGGCGCACTGAACCAAATGCATTCTTCAAATCTATCCACGCAATGCAAATTTGGCGTTTTGCCGTCTTTGCATCACGCATCGCCTCATAACAAAGTGATGTATGCTCTAAGCACCCAGCCTTTGCAGGCATAAATCCTTTCTGGTTGTCACCATCGAAGAACTTATTGCCTAGCATATGTTTCAAGAGGCGCTTTGCAACTAAGGTGAAAAAGATCTTCCCGGACGTGTTCGCTAGAGCAATCGGTCGGAATTTCGAAGGATCATCAGACACCTCCCCCTTGGCCAGGAGTGTGATACACGCTACCTGCCACTGCCTTGGAATGATCTTGCTCTCCCAAACCCGCCCAAAGATGGTGAAAAGAATGGATTGAAGGGAGGGACAAAGCTTCCAAACTATGTAAGGTATCTTGTCAGGACCCGGTGCAGAGGTGTTGCGACACTTCTTCAAAACATTCTGAAATTCAGTCCATGTAGGGGTCCCCTCATCGACTGGGTGGGTGCAATCCCGGGGCTTCCCTGCACTGGGGCAGGATTCGTACGAAGTGGCACGATCCTGGTCTGCATATGTGTGTTGGAAGTACTCAAAGCAGGTAGTGTCAGAGAAAGTGGGTTTGACATGGTTGGTTGGTTGAGAGAGAGAGAGAGAGAGAGAGAGAAAGAGAGAGAAAGAGAGATAGATAGAGAGAGAGATATATACAGATAGAGAGAGATAGAGAGATAGATAGAGAGAGAGAGAGAGAGAGAGAGAGAGAGAGACACACACACACACACACACACACACACACACACACGCACACACACACACACACACACACACACACACAGAAAGACATCGAGAGAGAAGAAAATAGTGATAGGGACTTGGAGTAATTATGGTGAAAAAGGAAAAGGGCAAAATGTGACGAGTTATGACTATCTGTCCACCAACAGTCCACCAACAGTGTTGCCGAATGTCTCAGTACTCCTGGTCAGTTTTGTGCCATTTTGTCGCACTCGCTGATTGTATACGATCTGGTTACATTGGGGGACAGTTAGTCATAACTCGTAACATTTTGTCCTTTTCCTTTTTCACCACAATTTTATTGGCTCACCATCCGAGTTGGACTTTGAGTATCATTGCTATTAGCATATGAAAGGTAGAATTGAGATCAGGTGTGAAGCAATACCTGTACCATGTACACATGATTTGAATTACAACAAGTCTATGTGCTTACGGTGATGTTGACCGTTGGCATGAAACTGCCTCTGCGGGTACTAATGCTGCTGCTGCCGCTGCTGCTGCCGCTGCTGCTGCCGCTGCTGCTGCCACTGCTGCTGGTGATGATGATGATGATGGTGATGGCAGAGGTAATGCAGCTTCTGCTGCTGATTGTCCTGCTGGTGGCACTGCTGCTGCTGGTGGGACTGTTGCTGGTGGCACTGCTGCTGGTGGCACTGCTGCTCCTGCTGGTGGCACTGCTGCTGGTGGCATTGCTGCTGGTGGCACTGCTGCTCCTGCTGGTGGCACTGCTGCTGATGCTGCTGGTGGCAGTGCTGCTGGTGGTGGCACTGCTGCTGCTGGTGGCACTGCTGCTGGTGGTGGAACTGCTGGTGGTGATGGAACTGCTGCTGCTGCTGGTGGTGGTACTGCTGCTGTTGGTGGCACTGCTGCTGCTGGTGGTGGCATTGCTGCTGCTAGTGGCGCTGCTGCTGGTAGCACTGCTGCTGCTAGTGGCATTGCTGCTGGTGGCACTGGTGCTGGTGGCACTGCTGCTGCTGCTGGTGGCTCTGCTACTGGTGGTGGAACTGCTGATCCTGGTGGCACTGCTACTGTTGGTGGCACTGCTGCTGCTGGTGGTGGCACTGCTGCTGCTAGTGGCACTGCTGCTGGTAGCACTGCTGCTGCTAGTGGCACTGCTGCTGGTGGCACTGGTGCTGGTGGCACTGCTGCTGCTGGTGGTGGTGGCACTGGTGCTAGTGGCACTGCTGCTGGTGGTGGTGGAACTGCCGCTGCTGCTGCTGCCACTGCTGCTGGTGATGATGATGGTGATGGCAGAGGTAATGCAGCTGCTGCTGCTGATTGTCCTGCTGCTGGCACTGCTGCTGCTGGTGGCACTGCTGCTGCTGGTGGGACTGTTGCTGGTGGCACTGCTGCTGCTGGTGGGACTGTTGCTGGTGGCACTGCTGCTGGTGGTGGCACTGCTGCTGCTGGTGGCACTGCTGCTGTTGGTGGCACTGATGCTGGTGGCACTGCTGCTGCTAGTGGCACTGCTGCTGGTGGTGGCATTGGTGCTGGCGGTGGCACTGCTGCTGCTAGTGGCACTGCTGCTGGTGGCCCTGCTGCTGCTGCTGCTAGTGGCTGCTGAAACCGTTTTAGACATCCGAAGATATTCAGGCAAGAAACACAAACAAGAGAAAAGTTCAGTCAGGCCAATTCCACAGACGTATACCGTAAAATAATAATTATCCTCCATTCGTATTGCATTGCAATTCTATGCTAGTTTTTTTTCATCCAGTAGAATTCTATTGAGTATTGCGGAAAAGAAACTACTTCTCCTTGAAGAAATAATGAAAACTAAAAACGACACACGGTCACTTGATCAGTCAAATCCTCACCGTCACACGATTTAAGTCACATGATCACAGTCACATGATCACAGTCACATGATCACAGTCACATGATGGTGTAGATATTGCAGCAAAGTATCTATTCTTGCAGCTTGACATTTCAAGTGTATGCTGAAACCATACAAGACAGTGGAAGAAAATCTTCACAACTCACCTCAGCTTGGACAAATGGCACATCCTTACGCAGCCAGGGCCAGAAGGACCTCGGGACAATGACCCTCTCCTTGCACGTAGCACACGTTGCCTTGAAGTTCAGAGCAGTGTTCCTATCCGACTCGTATGACATCAAGAAATGCCTCTTTTGCAAGCTGGTCAGCAACACCCACGAAGAGTATACCAGCACTTCTGCAGGACTGCTGCATTCCTTCAGGCGATCCTGGCATGATGTGGAAGTGCAGACAAATGACTCGCCAACAACTGTGAACTGCTGGTCCCCTTGGGTGCTGAGAACTTGTGTGAAGTCAACAATTGCACTCTTCATATCCCAAGCCACATCAGCAAGTATGGATGGTGTATCAGCAGCGCATTCTAAGCGAACACCTGTTGGTGTCCAGCAGAGGCATACTTGACTACAACCAACCTCCAAATTCAGTGATGTCGCACTGGATGCGAACTGAAGACTGGCTGGCTCTTTCATCATACGATGAATTATGTAGGTGACTAAGCGACCGAACAGTGGTGGAGGAAACAGCATCCCAGGGAAACTGAGGTGGTTAAACGGTAGCTTAAAGGGGACATCATCCTCCAAAACCAACCGTAATGCTTCCTGGTTGCAACAGAACGGGATGAAGAGGTCGGGTAGGCCTGGCGTGACAACCGGACATCTGTCTTGTCTGCTGATGCTGCTGCTGTTGCTGCTGCCGCCGACTCTACTGCCACACCCTCCGGTGCTGGTATCTGTACTGCTGGTGGATGTACTGCTGGTGGCTGTACTGCTGGTGGCTGTACTGCTGGTGGCTGTACTGCCGGTGGCTGCACTGCTGGCGGGCTGAAGTTCTGCTGCCAGGTTGAAGTAACACATGGATTTGCAGAGAGCTAGCTGGACAACATGGCTGAGAGGATACCAAACTTTCTCTATCAACCTCGCGCTGGCAATTCCCGTACGTCGAAAGTGTTGCACTTCTCTGACTAATGTTGCTGAGGTGCTTGGAAAAGCTGTCTCCTTCAGAGGGAAGGTCATCAAGCGTACAAAGTTGAGCAGCAGCTGCTGGGGTTCAAGGAAAATGACGCTTGAAGTGAGTGGATGCGGGCAGTCACAGCAAAACACTGTGCCATGTTGCTGAAGGTGGTGCAGTAGATCAGACACTTGTGCAGTGGTGAGATCTTTGCCGCTAACATGCCGACAAAAGTCTACAAACTGTGGGTAGTCCATACTAACAAAACTCTGCTGCTGCCGCTGCTGCTGCTGCTGCTGATCACTACTGGTAGCTTGCATTGTATCATCACTGCACCCAGCCTTTGCATAGCGCAGCATTACCGTCTTGTGGAGAGAAATAGCTTCTTCTATCTTTACTTGCATCAAGGGAATTGCTTGGACAGGAAAGGTAGAGACAATTCTAGAGAGCTCTTGCTGTGCTTCAGCAAGCTGGCTGTGGCAAGATACGCGATCTTGAAGACGGTGATTGTCAACGAAGAAGGGTCTACAGACCTTGACGTTGGGTCCGGCCCTTTCAGCCAGCTTGCACACGGCATTGAAGAACATGTCCTTCTTCTTCTCTATTTGGTTGTCGTCGACAAGATCCACATGTGTAACAACAACCATGATGGATGTGCTACTCTCATCATGATGGTGGCTGCTATTGCTGCTATGCTGCAAAGCAATCAGTGACAGACACATGTGAAGGTAGTCAGCCTGTGTCATTCCTGGCAACGGTGTAGAAGTTACAATCTCCTGACCATCAAAGCGGTAGACGTCTTCCGTTACCTCCTCATCCAGGTCACACCTCATGTCAAGAGTCACAATGTACACGCTGTCACAAACTGAAAACGAGATGCTTTGTTGTAACAACATCGGCATCTGTCCACCCATGTGCCACAGCTCAAGAAACGCGTATGCTGCTTCCTCTTCATTTGAACTGTTATCGATATTGCTGACAGACGAGCGAACATCTGGTGCCACTTTGGTCAGGTCATTAGCGTGGGGAACATTGGCAAACTCATTGTTGACAGCGGATGCAGCAGATGCTCTGGTGCCGGTAGCGGATTCAGTAGATGACGAAGTGAGCCATGAAGTGAATAGTGTCTGGACTTTGGACAAGATCGATTCTTGCGGACGTTTCTTGATCTTTTGGACCAGTTCTACAGATGATCGGTTGTGAGCTGTGAGTAGATTGACAAAGAAACTATGTTCACTGTCATCCACAAGAACTTGTGCTGCCTCTTGTGTGCCTGTGGCGGTTTGAGAGGAGAGATGCATTCTGAGTCTGGATCGATGGATGGAAATGGAGTCGGTGCTGTCCGCGTTTTCAATGAACTCTTCACCGAGCAGTGCCCGGACAAAGCTGGACTTTCCTGTGGCGTACTTGCCGATAAGGTACATACGCACGCGTACCACACTGGCCTCGTCCTTGCCACGAATGATGTCCTCAGCCACAGCAGCTGCATTGCAATAAACAATAATAATGCAGCAGCAGCAGCAGTAGCAGCAAGAAGAGCAGCAACAGCAGTAGCAGCAACAATCATTAGTACATGTTATCATGGGAAATGGTAGAATGCCTCAAGTACAACAGAGTTTACCAGTCACAAAAGCAATTGAGAGCCCCCCCCCTCCCTTTGCTTATTCTCTTCCTGTTCGCCCTCCCTCCAACCCCCCCCCCCCACCCCCACGCACCCCTTTTCTCTATCTCTCTGTTTCTCTATCTCTCTATCTCTCTGTTTCTCTATCTCTCTATCTCTCTGTTTCTCTATTTCTCTATCTCTCTGTTTCTCTATCTCTCTGTTTCTCTATCTCTCTGTTTCTCTATCTCTCTGTTTCTCTATCTCTCTGTTTCTCTATCTCTCTGTTTCTCTATTTCTCTGTTTCTCTGTTTCTCTCACTATGTATACAGTATACGGCATTGGGTATAATTATATTTATTTACCTATCTATCTATTTACCTAACTAACTAAAAAGACAGAAAGAGGTCCAGTTTGGATTTTTCATAACTCTAAGTATCATGAGGAAGAGTGTGTTGCTCCCTACATGGGAGCTCGCGGTTTTCCGGCCGACTTGAATTCTCACTTGACAGTAAAACCGTGAGCTCCCATGTAGGGAGCAACACACTCTTCCCCTACTATCGCCAAAAGTCGCACCAACCTCTCATATGTGATACTCGGCACGTAAATTGATATCACTCTACACGATTCACGAATAACTCCAGTATCACACAGACATTACAATTATGGTTACTGGCAATTCCCAAAATTGCTGCTTTGTATCTATCAATCTATCTAATCAATCTGCGGACAGAACTGTTTCGTCCTTTGTGGACTCATCAGCGCAGCACAGGGAAAACGAGGCTGAACTTGGTAGCAATGAAAATGAATTTTCCAAAGCCAGATTTAAACCAGGCCCGAACGTACCTTGCCAGAGTGCTCAAACTGACAAGTCAGTGAGCTCTGCATAACGCAAACAGCAAAGGCACTACCCCACATGAGCTATCTATCTATCTCCCTCTCTCTGTCACAATCTCTGCCTTTGTTTTTCTCTAATATCTCATACGTGAAGACTGTGATAACCAAAAATCATTACTACGAAGAAGTTCTCAAATCGAGCAGACAGATTGGCACCCACCAGTTCGAAGTTCCTCTTTCTTCATTTCCTTCATTGTTCCCAAGCAGAAACACAGCACACAGCACACACACACACATACACACCTTGGACCTTGGACCTTGGATGCGCTGCCATATTCTGGCTATGCGGACCCCATGGGGGGTTGAGCAGGTTCGGAACAGTAGGAGCGATGACGGGATAGGTCCTGTGGTCTACTGAAACGCCGACCGCAATTGCAAACGATACACACACACACACACACACGCCACACACACACACACACACACACACACACAAACACACACAAATACACAACACCAGAAATGAGTTGATCAATTTACTTTTATTCCCCAAGTTATACTAGACTGAGTAGACGATTGGCATAGCCAGGACCCACAGACCTCAATTTAGCACCTGTTCATGCATGCATTTGTGTGTGTGAGCATGCGCTTGTGTGTGTGTTTGTGTGTGTGTGTGTATAAGTGTATGGCACCGTGTCTGGCCCCTTTTTCACATAAGAAATGTGGTCAAGTATGAAAATGGTTAATGTCCAGTGACATCCTACAAAGTCGGACGGTACAACATTTAGCGCTTGGTGCACAGGAGACACGACACAAGTCGATTGCGACATTCGTTTTCCCCAGCCCCCAGAGTCTAAGCTACTTGTCGCTTTGCAGTCCCAAAATTCGTATTTTTGTTGTGAAGTATAAACCATACGTCAGACTTTTACAGTTTGGACAATCTAACTTAATGGGTACCGGCACATACATACGTACAAGACATTACAATGCTTAACTCTTTGAGCCCTACCATGGCATCCATGGATTCCTTCAGGATTCGCGCAGAGGTGCGCGACATATCGCGCAACAGTCCCAGTATGCATTTCAACATTATCTAATTTCACGCACCAGATTTGGAATATCTCCATCTTGGTCTCTTTGGAAACCTACAGCCTCCTCTCGCCAGATATCGCCACTAAGTACTCCACAGGACCAACGGAATCGCCGTCATGTCTTTTGAGAGCTGCCCTATTGCGCCTGAGCGAGATCCTATACCCACATCCACAAATGTCATTGGTTCTGAAGTTTTACTCAATGTAGAACGGTGATTCACAGCCCTGCAGGTTCCTGAAGCCCAAGCGATGCATTAAATTTTGGTTTCCACTACGCATGCGCTTTGCAACCATGAGTCACAGGCGACGTCCCTTTTGAAACAAATTCAAGCGCATCCATGTTTCGCTCTTCGGCGCTCAGTGAATCTTCATCGCTAGATCAAACGACACACGGCTGGAAATATTATTCTCTCAGCTTTCCGATTAGCCCTCATTCTTAGCCATTGAAGAAAGGACAATGGAGTTACGACAATTTGAACAGTGATGTGTATGCGCTGCACAAACTGGCATGGTTGCGTACGAGCAAACTCGTGTTCAAAAAAATTCACGGTTCGCGTCAGACTCGGTTTCTCTATTATAGAGGCCGAGTTTTCCACATCCGTAGGAACGCCACCAAGGATCAAGGCGCAGATGCAGCTCCTAAAGCGGTGGGAGGTGAGTAGATCAGCTCCCCAGCAAGTGGTCAAAGACCGAAAATCCCATTCACTGCATCCAAAATGACCTTTAACTCGTGGTTCGAGATCAAAGGGTTAACAATTTATGAAGAACAACTGAGGTTATAACTTATAGCAAAAAGGGCCTAGTTTGTCCTTCACTCTGAACTGACATGTAGAAGCTTTGTGCAAGTGGAATGATGGATTTCAGTACATGAAAACAGTCGAATGACATCATACACTCATTATATGCACGGAGCGCTGTAGAGCATAACCAGCATTCGGATTATTTATAAGCCGCAGGGATGTTTTATGGATGCATTTCAAAGTGCAGCCAACACCCCGGAAAACACGGTATGTGCTGCAGTTCCAGTGGTTGCAGTGGTTGCAGTGGTTGCACTTCATCTATTTCAGAGCTGCCAAGTTCATTTTCTCTTTGGTCAGGAGATCTCCCTCAAATGGGGATAGCCACGCGGGAGATCGGTCGGTAGCCCCTCAAACGAGTGGTTTTCCATCTACTTCCTCAGTAAACAAAAACATCGTGATGTATTTTTGAGGGACTGGTTTGCGCACAAACTGCCGTGAAATTAGTCACGATTACTTTCTCGGCCTTCCCTGGCATGCCGTGAAAGAGATAAGATGCAAAGAAAGCGACCATTCACCGGGGTACTGAACCAGCGTGCGTGACGCTGAGCGCATGTGTAAATTTGCTTATGGCAATAGTGACTGCAGTCAATTTTCAAACTCGCTCCAAATGCTCCGATTTTAGTCTTAACGCTTTCACTGCCACTGTCGACTGCAGTCGACAGCGCATTCATGCACTCGGAGTGCCATTGTCGACTTGCGTCGACGAGTAAACATGCAGTCCCCAGTGCTGTTGTCGACTTCCGTCGACAGGCAGACCTCACCCAGTTTGGCCCTCTATTTTCGAATATTGGAGATGTTTAGCCGTGGTAGACGACCACTGGGCCCTGGATGATGTCCATACCCATCGAAATACGCTGCCAGAAGTATGGGTTGGCGTTTGAAAAAATCGAACCTGCGTCGTTGAAAATGCGCATCCGATTTTTGCCGAGCAGCGGGGAGGAAATCGGTTCTCACGCACTTCCACCTCCCAGAGTCGGTGCGAGTATTTTCCCCTTTCCCGTCAACTTTCATTGCGCGGAGCATGGAATTTGGTTCAGACTTGAAGCCTAGCTATTACTGTTAACCGACAAACTTTCGCGAGCGATTAACTTCCGCGACTTTCGCGAGCAGGGCCGAATCACGAAAGTTTGACACGCGAATATGAAATTTGTACAATCATGTACTACGCGATGCGTCGATGATCGATTGATTTTTTTAAAGCCTCTTATACGGGCAATCACAGAACATGATTTCACTGGCCTGACCATGGCAATCACAGAACATGGTTTCACTGGCCTGACCATGGCAATCACAGAACATGATTTCACTGGCCTGACCATGGCAATCACAGAACATGATTTCACTGGCCTGACCATGGCAATCACAGAACATGATTTCACTGGCCTGACCATGGCAATCACAGAACATGATTTCACTGGCCTGACCATGGCAATCACAGAACATGATTTCACTGGCCTGACCATGGCAATCACAGAACATGATTTCACTGGCCTGACCATGGCAATCACAGAACATGATTTCACTGGCCTGACCATGGCAATCACAGAACATGATTTCACTGGCCTGACCATGGCAATCACAGAACATGATTTCACTGGCCTGACCATGGCAATCACAGAACATGATTTCACTGGCCTGACCATGGCAATCACAGAACATGATTTCACTGGCCTGACCATGGCAATCACAGAACATAATTTCACTGGCCTGACCATGGCAATCACAGAACATGATTTCACTGGCCTGACCATGGCAATCACAGAACATGATTTCACTGGCCTGACCATGGCAATCACAGAACATGATTTCACTGGCCTAACCATGGCAATCACAGAACATGATTTCACTGGCCTGACCATGGCAATCACAGAACATGATTTCACTGGCCTGACCATGGCAATCACAGAACATGATTTCACTGGCCTGACCATGGCAATCACAGAACATGATTTCACTGGCCTGACCATGGCAATCACAGAACATGATTTCACTGGCCTGACCATGGCAATCACAGAACATGATTTCACTGGCCTGACCATGGCAATCACAGAACATGATTTCACTGGCCTGACCGCGGCAACAACTGCAAAGCAAAACAAAACAAAAACTTTAAATAAAAAGAAAATGAAACTTTACAATCTGCACACAATGACAACTCTATTTTAAGATAGTCTCTGTTGATCAGTCGGTATCCGTTACCCGTGTTAGCTAGTCGCCAACAAGATGGGCTTCGGCAAAAGGAACATTTGGAGAGGCGTCATTCATCCCCCTATGCCAGGGAAATGGTGAGTGGTAGGCTCGGGCGGATTATGCTCGCATGGAATTATGCTTTCATGGATTCTCGCATTATGCTCGCAAAATCCTCATACAGCTGTATTATGCTTTGGCACACGGGGATACGCATTCACTTTGTTGTAGGGACCGGCGGATTCTGCTCGAAAAGGTGGCAGGTTCTGCTCGAAAAGCAGTGAAATTGGCAGAACCATACAAACCTTATGGCGGGCAATTCCTCGAAGTCTGCTCCATTTCTTTATCCACATACCAAACATGCATGAAACTTACCAGAAAAAGTACCGAATTCTGCCAAATTTTCTGCCGGCAGAATCCGCCGGACCCTACTTTGTTGTACGTATGGAGCTTCAAAGTTTGGAAAATTGTGCTTTTTTCGTTCATTGTACATGTACTTGCAAGTGGCCATAAGTACAACAAAATACATGAGTATCCCCATGCCAAGGTGTCCATGCATGCTAGAGATCAACAAAGAAAAGAGAAAACATTGCATCTTCTATTCACTACAACTGCTTTTGTAAAAAGATTTTTCATTGCTAAATTGTGTTTGAGTTACCTTTCAAAATGATCATGTTCAACTGACTGTCTTCGTAATCGTCATACTCGTCCAACCGATGTCAACCTCACCCTGCGAATAATCAGCTCATCTCTCTCGTAGCTCCACCTCTCCATCATGATCGAACATCAACAATACCTCACTTGATATTTTCTAATTATTAGAGCAATATCCATAGTCTGCACAGCCACGCTGCTAAAATCCCGAGGTCACGACTTCGTATCATGAATAATGTACATGTACGCAGAGTCCGTTTGCGGACTACCCATCACTATCTCGTCCATCTCGGGATACCTCATAAAACCCTGCTTTTCACTGAAAACTATATCTGCATGACCTCCAAACCCTTTACCAAACAGATCACTAGCGCTGATCAGGTGCATTGTACACAATTCTGTAGCCTACATACTAGAACTGTGGTACAATCATGTAGTTATGCTCCTACCTCCGAAAGGATGCCAAATTATGCTCCAAATTTTCAACCACCCAATTATGCCAATAATTATGCCGGCATAATCCGCCGGTGCCTAGTGAGCGGGCCCCCGCAGACAC